TTTGATTGCTGAATAATATTCCATTGTGTATATATACCACGTCTTCTTGATCCAGTCATCTATTTTGGAGCATTTGGGTTGTTGTATTGTAAAAGAAACCTTTTTTTTTTTTTTTTTTTAAATGGAGGCACAGATAGTGATACTGTTTGCCACAGCGCTTTCTCATTCTTTTACCCAGAGACAATTCCTTCATTTGAAACATGGGACAGTATACCCCCTCCCCCCATGTTTTTCAAAGAGGCCATCCCCTCATTCCTTTCTTACTGCTCATAATCACACTAAGCATTTAAGCATTTTTAACTGCAATTTTCAGTCTTGATCCATCAGAAGATCCTTTAAAAGAGCATATACTGTTCCCCTCATTTTACAGGTATGGAAACAGAGATCCAGGCAGGTAAAATAACTTATCCAAGGTTACACACAGTGAATTAGAGGTAGAATTGGAACTAGCTTTTGTGTTTTCTGACTCTCAGCCTCGTATTTTTTCTATTAATTTAGTAAGAAGAAGAGCTATAATGTGCAGATCAGACCTAAAGAGGGTTGAGTTGTATTAGGACCCAGGACTTGAAGAGTTTTGAAGGGACCTTCTGTCCTCCATCTTCATTTTCATCTCAATTCATTCATACACATTTGAGGAATTGAGCAGAAAGGGGGAAACATTTTCCTTAAGGGTTCAACAAAGCTTTCATGACAGGAACCTTGGGGAAGAGTCCAGAGGAAGGGTAGGCTCCAGGGCTTATTAGCCCAGAGTAACCTTTGTAGCAGAGGGGGCAGAGGAATAGAGGATAAACTTGCAGGTTTTAAGACCCCTGCAGACTTCAGTCTAAACCTGTTCAAGGTTGGGCTTGGGCAGGCTTGTGGTGATGATAGTCTTCTGGGGGAATTCATGGCAGCAGTAACCCTTCTCCTCCCTCATTCAAACCATTGGATTTTTTTTTTTTTTCTAAGATTTATTTATTTAGGGCTTCCCCTGGTGGCGCAGTGGTTGAGCGCTGGGCTGTGAAGCTGCCCACAGCCTCTGCAGCACCAGTTTGATCCCCAGCTGCCAGCAAGGGTCCCACGTGGTGCAACAGACCTTTCCTGCTGTGCCCACTGCTCTCCTCATCAGTGTATTTTGTCAGTCTGCGTGTTCTGTTCCCCGCTCTGGCTCTGGTGAATTCTCTCACCCTCCTGTGCTTCTGACTGTACCCAGTGCTTGTATAAATAAATAAATAAATCTTAAAAAAAAAAAAGATTTATTTATTTATACAAGAACTGGATACAGGCCAGATGCACAGGAGGGTGAGAGGATTCACCAGAAGACATCGGGGAACAGAACAGGCAAACTGACGAAATACACTGCTGAGGGGAGCAGTGGGCGAGACAGGAGAGGTCTGCCGTGCCCTATGGGACCCTCGCCGGCCGGCTGGGATAGAACTGGCGCTATGAAGGCTGTGGAGGCTGCGCAGACAGCTTCACAGCGCTGCGCTCAACTGCCTGAGCCACCAAGGGAGGCCCTCAAACCACTGGATTTTGAGAAATAGTTTATCCTTTCAGATTGCTGGAGTAAGGCAGACCATGAAGTAAGCAGCAAGCAAGCACATTTTGGAGTAAAGTAAAGCAGGCCTAGTTTCTAGTTTGACTTCGAATGGCACACTTAGCCTCACCCATCTTCAGTTACCTTGACTATAAAATGGGCATGCCATCTCCTGTTTCACAGGGTACTATGAGGGTAACAGTGTAACACCATGCCCTATGTCTGTAGCCCATGTCTTTCTGTCAAAGCCTGACTTAAGTTCTTCTGTAAAGGTTCTCAAGCAACCTGTGGCCAGACTGATTTCTTTTCCACTTTTGTAATATGTAGTAGCATTCTTTGAACTGTTAGATCTTGCTTAATGTTATTAGTAATGAAATTGATACTGTCCTACCCTGAACTGCAAGGTGCTCCTGGTATGGACTGTTCTCAATCATCCCTGCATCCTCCATAACTCCTAACTCAGAACTGTGACCACAGCAACCAGACCCAGGATATATTTTTTTGACTAGTTGGGTAGAAGCCCTATATATATTCAGTGTTTTGTGCTATAGAATTAATGTGTTAAAGACCTAGCTGAGAGTTTCCCATCTGACTCTTTCCCTTTTCTTGCCAGTTATCACCAAATCCCTGTATTATTACAGGATGAGAATTATTTTTCCCTTTTGTCGATGAGGAATCTGAGCTGTAGCTAAGAGTCCAGGTCTTTTGTTAGGAGATAGATCCGGAGGAAGATAAGAGTATCAGGAATCAGAATAGAAATCTTAATTGACTAGGTCTCCATTCTGTGGAAGCAGTAGAAGTCTCTATAAGGAAGAACAGGAGAACTTTAGTTCTGAGACCTTAGTTGGTGAGCCCAGAGCCAGATATAGTTACAAGCTGTAGATATCTCAAGAACATGATGCAGTGGTGAGAGGATTCGATATAATTTTTAATGATTTAGTAAACCTTGAAAATTAAGGATTTGAATATGTACAAATGAAGACAGGCATTCTAGTTGAACAACAGCATGGGCAAAATTATCGGAGTTGGAAAGCCCATGGTAGAGAGAAGGCAGATGATGACGACCAGAGCATGACCAACCTACAAAGTAAGGCTGAGGTGATTGGGAACATGACTTTTTTTTGAGTAGGGAAGTGACATTGGGAACATGAGTCTGGCAGAGTGAGCCCAATAGATTGGAGCAGAAGGGTGGGAGGAAATTGGTAAGAGACATCAGGCAAGAGGTTACTGTGATAGTCTGTCCTTACAATGTCAGTGCATTTTAGAAAATTTTCTAGCAGTGCAGACAAGAGATAATGAGACCCTGAACCAAGAGTAAGTTGACACAGTATTGGATAAAGAACATTTTGGATGTAGAGCTTTTAGAGCAAAAATCCTCGCAAGGATGTGGCAGTTGTGGGGATGAGGAACGAGGCAAGGAGGAGTCACAGAGTATAAATACATTTGGAATCGAAATGCTTGGAAAAATGGTTATACCATTCCCTGAGCCATGTGACGTGGGAAACAGGAGATGGTTGTATTTGTTGACATTTTAAAATGGAGGAGCTAATAGTACAGTACCCTTACCACCCACCACCTTCTGCCTCTGCCCTTTGGCTTAGGTCTATGGAAATCCTTTAGTTACATGTGTCTTTGCAGCTTTGTACCAGGCCTGGAGCCTTCTCATAGATCCCTCCACCTATGTTTTGTGAGCAACTCTGACTCCTCCTCTGAGACAAAATAGTGATCTAAGGTGCTTTAGCTCATTATCTAGTCTGTTCTAAAGTGTGCATTAATTGTCAGTGGCTATTAAATGACTACTGATGTGCTTATCATTAAGCTAGAGACGAGGGAAGCCTATGGAATCCCCTGACTGAAGGACTCAGGCATCATTCAACTGTAAATAACTTAGATTACAAGTAAACGAATAGGAGCTCAGGCGTGAGCATATGTGGGGGTCTGAGCCGTGTCAGCGTGAACTGGAGAACATGCTCCCTGTCTTTTTTCCTTCTGTTTTTGCGAAGTGGTATAGGGTGGAGTTAGAAGGGCAAGCCCTGAAAGTTGGATTTCCTGCTCTACTATTTGTTAGCTTTGTGATTTGGGCAAATTTTATATTGTCTCCGTACCTGTTTTCCCATTAGTAAAACAGGGAATATGACAACACGCCATCTTCATAAGATTGTTGTAAAGATTAAATTAGCTAATATAAATAAAGGGTTTAGAATAGTGCCTGACACGGGCTATTATCTCCTTACCCCAGAGTCTCCTCTGCTCCTCTATCCCACATTCCAGGGAGTAAATGGGTATTTCTCTGTTCTTCAGCTTTCTTCATCAACAGGAGGGGATGAGTGGAGAAACCTAAAGTCTAAAGTCTTAAGAGTGCAAGTTTGTCCTAGCTGGGGTCTAGGTAATTCTGGAGGAAACTGACCTCTAGAGCTCTAGTGAGGCAGAGTTAGGGTTGTCTAGAAGACCTTCCCAGTTTGCCACTGACTGACTTTGATTTTGGACAGGTCATCTAACCTCTGAGCTTATTTTCTCATATGTAAAATTGGGAGCATAATAAATATTTCCATGTATATCTAGTACCTCGTTCTTCCCACCACTACATGCCAACTGTTAGTATTAGCTTTCTTGTTCCACAAACATAGCAAATTATTTTTGCCTAGCTATTACTGCTGCAGGGCCTTTACACTTTCTGTTTCCCCTCTCTGGAGCACCCTTTCCTCAGATCTTTGTGTATCTTACCCCTTTTCTTTATTCAGCCCTCTCTCCAGAGATCATCCTTGGAGAGGCCTTCCCTGACCATTTTATTGTAAAAAGGTCCATTTTTACCCCGGGTTATTCTTCACTTACTCTGCTTTATTTTTCTTTGAAGCGCTAGCACAACCAGAAATTCTATATTATTAACCTGTCTTTTTTAAGATTTATTTTATTTATTTATGCATACAAGAGCTGGGGTGTAAGCCAGAAGTGCAGGGGTGAGAGGATTCACCAGAGACAGAGTGGGGAACAGAACAGGCGGATTTACTGAAATACATTGCTGAGGGGAGCAGTGGGCAAAACAGGAGAGGTCTGCTGTGCCGTGTGCATCAGCTCCCAGGCTGGGGATTGATCTTGTGCTGTAGTGGCTGCCAATAGTTTCATAGTGCTGAGACTTAACCCCTTGCGCCACCAGGGAGGCCCCTATTAACCTATCTTTTCCTAGGATGTAAGCAAGATATGTTGACAGCAGGAACTTTGTTTTTTAATTTTTTTTTTTTTGATTTATGCATACAAGAACTGGGGTGTAGGCCAGAGGTACAAAGAGTAAGAGGATTCACCAGAGGCAGAATGGAGAGCAGAACAGGTGGATCTACTGAAATACACAGCTGAGGGGAGTGGCTGAGACTAACAAAACCCTGCGCCACCAGGGAGGCCCAAAAGCAGGAACTTTGAATGCTTGCACTGTCCTAAGTTTATGCTTGTTCTGAGTAGGACTCCTGACTGATTTCTTTCTCTGTTATAGGTGAACCCTGTACCCAGAGACAGCTAGTGCTGATCCTGTAACCCAAAGGAAGAAAATCCCTGGCTAAGCTCAGCTTTGATATTGGTGAGTGAGGGTTTCTGGGTAAACTCTAGACCAAGATACAGAGTAATTACTTTTGGGCTTATTTTCTCTTAGTACAGGTAACTTACTGGTAATTACTCTCCTACTCCATATCTAAGAGATGGAATGATGACCATAACCACCCTTCTGAACTGGGAGAAGAGTTGAGCTCACTTTTCTGGAGCTGCCAGGAGATGGTCTGAGATCATTTGCCATGAGTAAACCAGAGCAGGCTCAGTTTCTTTCTCTGCCTATTTATTTATGCAGAACAGGCAGATTGACTGAAGTACACTGCCAAGGGGAGCAGCACTGCTGAGGGGAGCAGCAGGCGAGTCAGGAGAGGTCTGCTGCACCATGTGGGTTGTTCCCTGGCTGTGGGGGGGGGTGGGGTGGGGTGGAGGATCGAACTCGTGGTGTAGAAGTTGCGGGCAGCTTTATAGGTTGCGTCTAGCTTCATAGGTTGCATCTTAATCCTTTGTGCCACCAGGGAGGCCCAGGCTCACTTTCTTTTTGCACATTGCCAGCTGCTTTTTCCTGGGGGTTTTCTTGGAACTGGCAGCTAAACCCATTCTCCTACAAGCTATCTTGACTATGACCTATCAAGTCTTTAGGTAAGCTTCAGAAAATCCGAAGTTTTATTAGTCCTCAAAATGTGACCATGAGTGGAGGGGAGGATGGAGCAGTAGAATGGGGCAGTATGCAGGAAAAGACAAGGAAACTAAGAGGAATGACCGTCAGTGGTGAGGTGGGAAGGGAAACCAGTGCGTTAGAAATCAGCCTGTTAAGGATCTCATTAAATCTAGACAAAACCCAATTTTATAAATGAGGGGATTAAGACTCAGAAAGTTCAAACAGTTTGCCCAGAGTTCCCACCTGGAATCTGTGAAGCTGATGTTGGAACCTAGGTCAGTATAACTAAACCCCTTGTCTTTCCAGACATGGCAGGTTTTCCTTGGACTGCTAATCTCCCCGGAATCCTGAGTTTTCTTACAAGGTTCATACCTCATTAGGGTGATCCAGTTATTTGAGGGGGCCCGGCAGGACAAATAGGAGTTGGATATCCCCCCCTTTTTTTTTTAAAGATTTATTTATTTATGCATGCAAGAACTGCAGTACAGGCCAGAGGTGCGGGAGGTGAGAGTATTCACCGCAGACAGAGTGGGGAACAGAACAGCCAGATAGACTGAAGTACACTGCTGAGGGGAGCAGTGGGCGAGACAGGAGAGGTCTGCTGTGCCATGTGGGCAGCTCCCTGGCCGGTGGGTGATGGAACTGGTGCTGCTGAGGCTGCAGACAGCTTCATAGCACTGTGTTTAACCCCTTGTGCCACCAGGGAGGCCCCAAAGATAAGAATCTTTAAGCAGGAAGAGGTGCAGGCTTGTTGACTGGAAGGGGAAAAGAAAACATCTGTAACACACAGGTCCCCATAAGCACTTGAACCAGCACAGATAGGAGGACCTGGAGAGTTGGATTGGAGTTGGGAAATCTGGGTTTTTATCTTGTCTTTCAACATGTGTCCTGGGACAATCTTCATTTCCCTAAGAAAGATATGTACCCTATGTAAAACTAGAGTGCCCCTCTGTACCCCCAGCAGGGATGTTGTAGAGAATCAAATGAGAAACACAAGTTGGAAAGCTTCATGAATTGTAAAGCAGCACGACTGAAGTGAAAGCAAGAAGAAAGCATAGGTATCTTGCATCTGGCATCTTGCACCTGGCATCTTAGTCCCTGACCTATTTGCCACCCCACTCTCCAGTGATAAAAAGGAGGGTTTTTCCCTTAGAAATCTGTGCTGTAAATTTCCTTTGCCCTCCTCCTCTATTTCTTCTCCAGGCCTTACTCAAAGTTAAAATTTTCCATAAGGGAAAGGATTCCAGGGCCCAAATCACAAAGCCAGATAGGATCAGCATCCATGATTTACAGCACGTGGACTGCAGAATACAGGTTTAAATGTACTCATGCAACCTGACTCCCAGGCCACTACCAGCATAGGTAGTAAAGTAGTTTTCAAGAGCCCATTCTTAGCATGTATGTGACTCACTGACTAGTTCCATTGCAATGTTGGCCTTGTTCCCTACTGTCATCTCAGAAGAGAAAGGCTGTATCTATTTTGGCCCTGGGTTCTCTGCCTCCTACCAGCCCTACCCATCCACTGATGATGATAATGGCACTAATCCTGAAGTCTCATATCTCATCAAAAGGCATAATTTTCCCACCACCTCTCTCTCTCCCCCTTGGCCACTTTCTTCACTCTTGTTTGAGGATGCAGAGAGGAGTGTGTCTTCCATTTGATGTTCTCAAACTTATCATTGGTCAACTCCAGCCTTGCCTTTTACTGTGAATTGCCAGGCTCTTGTACCACCTCTTTTTGTCTGATTAATTTAAAGTTCTAAAACTTCTGGCCTGGGCACCAGACTTGAATATTAATTGTTCTTGTAACCTGCCCTGTGAAGAAGTTCCACTATTGACTATTTTTTTAATATATGATTAATACCATGTTAATAAAAAGTATAATATACAGATATCCATATAACTACTTATTATCAATTTTTTCAGAGCCCAACTAAAAAAACAAGAAAGAAACAACAAATTGTCATCTTTAAACCCTCAAACAGTGCTAATTTATTCTTATTTTTATGTGTTGTAACAAGCTTAGCAATCTGGTTTCTACACCCCCGTAAGATTAAAAGCAGCATATAAAAAAGGAGAGGAGCTGCTGTATTAACAGCAGCTGGAGGTGAGAGCTGGAAGCTAACAATAAGGGAGGAATGAAAAGAATGATAAGAAAGAGAAGTTAAATTGAGTATGGAGGCCATTTTATTTTAGGACAACAGCCCTGCAGACACTTATATGTTTCAAAAAGGTGGGCTGGGGGGCCAGATAATTTTTTTTTAAGATTTATTTATTTATGCATACAAGAGCTGGGGTACAGGCCAGGGATGCGGGGGGCGGGGGGGCGGTGAGAGGATTCACCAGAGACAGAGTGGGGAACAGAACAGGCAGACTGACTGAAATACACTGCTGAGGGGAATAGCAGGTGAGACAGAGGTCTGCTGTGCCATGTGGATTCTCCCTGGCCAGCTGGGGATTGAGCTGGTGCTGCAGAGGCTTCTGATTGCTTCATAGTGCAGTGCTTAACCCCTTGTGCCACCCGGGAGGCCCCAGGGGCCAGATAATTTTTAAGGTAGTTATGGGTTCCTCTTGAAGGCTAGAGGTAGATTAGTGTCTGCTGGATTAACAGGTCCTTACCAAATGCTCTACATAAATAGATTTCATTTTCGTTTTCTTTTTTTTTTTTTATTTATTATTTTTTTTAAATCTCAACCCTACCCTACACCTAACTGGGTAGGTTTTTTTTTTGTTTTTTTTTTTTTAAGATTGATTTATTTATACAAGAACTGGGGTACAGGCCAGAGGCACAGGAGGGCAAGACAATTCACCAGAGACAGAGCGGGGAGCAGAACAGGCAGACGACCGAGAACACTGATGAGGGGAGCAGCAGGCCCAACAGGAGAGGCCTGCTGAGCGCCATGTGGGAATCTCCCTGGCCAGCTGGGAATCGAAATCTTGGTGCAGAGGCTGTGGACAGCTCCACAGCACTGTGCTCAACCTGCTGTGCCACCGGGGAGGCCCCTGATTTCATTTTCATAGTTTAGGAGGTGATATAAATTACTGAGCCTTAGAGAAGGACACATAGGCAAGTGATTGGAAGAGCTAAGGTTAGAATACAGAAGATTCTGACTCCATAGAACCAGGGATTTTCTACTACACTACATTAGCTCTTTACCCATGACCTAAAACAATGGTCCTTCTAAGTCTCTTGGGTCATTCTTGCTAAAGGTTTGTCAATTTTGTTGATCTTTTCAAAGAATTAAACTTTTAGTGTCATTGGTTTTCTATTCCATTGATTTCTTTATTTAATCTTTATTATTTCCTAACTTATGCTTGTTTTGGATTTAGTTTGCTTTTTTCTTGTTTTCTGAAGGCTTTATTAGGTTATTGATAAGGTTTATGTTTTGGTTATTTAATTTTTCTTTGTGTAGCGAAAGCACTCACCTTTAGGCTTAACTGAGTTGTCAGTTTCCTCCTTCTGAAGTAGTCTCTAAAGAAATGTCTGGACCCTCAGAGGAAACCTAACTCTTAGACAATGGAGACAAGTGGTTTGCATGTGTGACTAACAGAAAGGGGATTGGGGCTAGGCTTGTTGCTTTGGGAAACCTGGATCCTTCTTGCCCCAAGTCAGCATTGAACAAACAGTGAGGCAGGCCTGAGTTTCCAGTAAGAGATGGGATGCAGCAGAAAGTCAGGAGACACATGGAAAGTCAGAACTCCCAAGACTTTTCAGGAGATTTTGCCTGATACAGAACTGGAGGAAATAGCTGCCCACTTCATAGGCTTCTGGATGGCATTGGCCTTACTCTGTTGACTGTTAATGACCGAGATTTTAAGTAGATTTGATTCCATTAAAGATACAAGGTTTAAATACAGATCCCTAGTGTTGAGGTAGGAAGAGCTCTAAGTAAAGCCTGGACTTGGACTTGGTACATACTCATGGCCTTTAGTTTCCTCATCTGTAAAGAAGGAATAACAGTTTCTACCCAGCCTCCCTTGTGACCCCATTCTACTAACATTTCAGCTAAGTGCTATGTGAAACTGTTAGGCATTGTACAAATGTAAAGGACTATTAATGTTAATATTATGGTGCTATAGACCTGGGACAGAGTCTGAGGAGGTCAAGGAGCTGTAGTGGTATATCATCATTATCATTCAAGGTGTGGGGATGAATGTCTGACCAAAGTGGACTTTGTAGCATACTAAGAAAAGAGGTTCATTGTCTGCCAATGTTATTATCAGATGGTTCCCAGAGAATCTACAGAGAAATCTGAGGGAGGCCACCAGAAAAGCTCATATAAGAAGCAGCTATCCCTGTTCACTCCCCATCCAGGAATTTTGGCCAAGGCTTATTACTTTGATTCCAGAAAAAGCTGGCTTATTTGATAGTT